TAGCTCCTGTAAAGACAATTGGTGACTGAAGCCTTTACACACCTGGCAGAGCAGCCAGACTTGCAGCTAGTGCTGGTTGAATGGGGAAAAAAACCACACCACCACGTCCTCCAGGTGGGGATGTAAATGGTCAGAGCACTTCAGGAGAGAGTGTGGCAGTTTCTTATGACTAAGTATTTGTTAACCCAGTGTGTGCAATCATGAGCATTCATCATAGAGAAATGAAATCTCACGATCACCCCAAAACCTGCCTGTGAACATGTTCACAGCAGCTTTGTGCAGGATAGTTCAAAACTGGTAAGGAGCCAAGCCCTTCAGTGGAAGAATAGCTAAATGGTTGTACTTCCAGGTTGGGGGACATTACTCAGCAATAAAAAGAAACATTGTACTGATACGCATAGCTATGCCTGGATAGCTGAAAGTTTGTTTCAATCTTTTGAGTTATTGGAAAGTGAAAAAAACAACAACAAGTGAGTGAAAAAGTTTCACATGCAATAATCATGCATGATTCCATTTATATAGAATTCTTGAGATGGCAAGATTATAGAGATGGAAAACAGATTAGTGTTGCCAGCAGTGAGGATGGGGTGGGGTGGAAGGAAGGAAAGGGGAAGGACACTGGAGAAGGAAACACCTGCCCTCTACACTGTTGATCTGGGCTGACGAAGGCTCCTGAAGCGTTGCCCACATCCTAACGCCCAGAATCTGGCCATCTATTCTGGAAAGGTCTCTGACTTGTTACTAAGTTAAACTCTGGAGACAAAAAGATCCTGGCTTACCATCCCAAGTATCCTAACAGAGTGAGCAGAGGCCTGGGGAGCAGTTGCCTCACAAGTATGGAGACCTGAATCAGAACCCAGAATTAATATAAAAGATCAAATGTGTGGCACACACTTGTGAACCCAGAAATGGCAAGATTGAAGGCAACGAGGACTGGATCCCTGGAGACTTGCTGGCCAGTGAGCCTAGACCTTTCTTCAAACAATAGGTGGAAGGTACCTGAGAAGTGACAGCCAATAGTTTCCACACACAGGTGCTCACACGCACACCAACACGGATGTATACACATACACACACAAAGAGTGAGGCAGGGGGAGATATCTCTGTCTCTCTATCTCTCTGTGTCTGTCTCTGTCGCTCTCTGTGTCTCTGTCTCTGTCTCTCTCTCTCTCTCTCTCTCTCTCTCTCTCTCTCTCTCTCACACACACACACACACACAGATGGAATGAAATCAGAGCACAGAGATGGAACAACCCTGAGGGCGAAAGAGGCAGAGGACAGGTTCTCCCTGGAGCCTCTGCAGTGAGCATAGCTTTATCTATACCTCAACTTAGGGTTCTGGCTTCCAGCTACCTAGTTCATGGCCATTACAGCAGCTACAGGGAACTAATTTGAGACTAGGTCAGCATCCTGCCTGAAATATGTTACAGGGGTTTTGAAAGGTGTTACCATTGGGGGTGGGACAGTGAGTAAAGACACAGGATCTGCTCATGTTCTCTCTCATAGTTACCTGTGAATCCACAATTATTTCCAAATAAAACATCCAATAAAAATGAGCCAAGGGACTTGGGGGTGTAGCTTAGCTGGGAGAGTGCTTGCCTATATGCATGAAGCCCCAAGTCTAATCCTCAGCACTATCTTACCCACTTGCAATCCTAGCACTCCAGAGGTAAAGATAGGAGAATCCGAAATTCAAAGTCGTCCTGGACTGCTGTAAGTTCAAAGCCAAGGCCACCCTGGACTACATGAAACTCTGTGTCAAAAATAAATAGGAAACTCTGTATCAAAACTCTTTATCAAAAGTAAAGAGCTGGGCTGGGTGTTGGCAGCGCACACCTTTAATCCCAGCACTCGGGAGGCAGAGGCAGGCGGATCTCTGTGAGTTCGAGGCCAGCTTGGTCTCCAGAGCGAGTGCCAGGATAGGCTCCAAAGCTACACAGAGAAACCCTGTCTCGAAAAACCAAAATAAATAAATAAATAAATAAATAAAGAGCTGGAGCTTCAGCTCAACGGTTAGAACTTTCTGCAGTTATGATTATAAGTACTAGAATTCGGATCCCAACACTAATGTAACAAATTGAGCATCACACACATGTCCGTAACCTCAGCTCCACAGTGACAGAGACACGAGGATAACTGGGGCTTGCTTGCTTCCTGGGAGGAGAAATGGGAGGAGTTCCAGGGTTAGGGAGAGACCTTGCCTCAATGAAATAGGTGGGGACAATAGAGGAGGGCACCTGGCACCTTGTCTGCCCTGATACCTGTACACACATGCACTTATACACCAATCAGTAAACTTAAAAGCAATAGGTAAGTAACTTAAGAAGCAAGGGCAGGAGGGGAGGACCTTTCTCCTGCTGCTTTTTAGACAAAGTCTCCTCATGTAGCATTGGCTGGCCTGGAAAATGCTGTGTAGACCAAGCTGGCCCCAGATTCACAGAGATTTGCCAGCATACTGGGCTTGGGAGGGCAAGACTTTAATATGGGCCAGGGAAGAGCTAGCAGCACAGGCTTCCTGGTGCACAGGGTATGGAGACTATAAGGAGGCCAGAGGAAGATGCCAGGTTCCCAGGAGCTGGATTGACAGGGGGGTGTGAGCTGCTTGCTGTGGGTGTTGGAAACTGAACTTCAGTTGTGGATCTCAGGCCAGCCCCAAGATCACTAGGTAGCCCAGGCTGGCCTTGGACTCCTGATCTTCCTGCCCCAACCTCCCCAAGGGCTGAGATTACAGATGAGCGCCATCACAGTCTGGCTAGGTATTTTTAAAATAGGAAGACTGGTCTGGGAAGATGGATCGGTGGGTACAGCATTTCCATGCAAGCATAAGGACCCGAGTTTGAATCCCCAGCACCCACAGGTAGATTTGCTTTGTCAGTGAACTTTTGGTGGTGGCCACACCCTATGGGCATGGCTTCAGGTGTTCATAAGTGACCCCTCTTGGGTTGTGGTGAGAGTGTGAGAGTATCCAAAGGGCAGAGACCGCATCTTCTGGAGCAGGAAGACCATGGCGGTTATTTACTATTATTTTTCTTTTTTCAAGACAGGGTTTCTCTGTAGCTTTGGAGCCTTTACTGGCACTAACTCTGTAGACTAGGCTGCCTCCATCTCACAAAGGTCCACCTGCCTCTGCCTCACAGGTGCTGGGATTAAAGGCGTGCGCCACCATTACCTGGCTTAGTAACTATTATTTGTGTAAGTGCTTCCCTAATAAATAGCTATTTATCTTGGGCCTGGTGGACTCATTTAAACCTCACCTTCAATTGGCACGCGTCTCCTAATGATGCTGTCATTGGCCAAATACAACTAGAAGCCAGAAATAGGAGTGGCCAAGCCCGGGCACACACCCGCACACACGCACGCACGCACGCACGCACGCACATATATCTGAGACATATCACACACACATACACACACACAGGCACGCACGCACGCACGCACGCACGCACGCATGCACGCATGCACGCGCGCACACACACATACACACGTGTGCACACACACACGCACGCACACACGCATGCACGCATGCACGCGCACACACACATACACACGCGCACACACACACACGCATGCATGCACACACACACACACGCGCGCGCGCACGCATGCACACACACACACACACGCATGCATGCACACACACACACACGCGCGCGCGCACACACACACGTGCACACACACGCACACACGCACACGCACGCATGCACACACACACACACTCGCACACACATACACACACGTGCACACACACACGCACACACGCGCGCACACACACACACACACGCACGCACGCACGCACGCATGCACGCACACACACGCACACACACGACAATGAGTGTGGCCCTTGCTTAGGAGAACAGACACCATGTCCCCTCAGCCTTGGATCACCGTGAGTCATTTCCCCAGCCCCTCTTTCAGTGAGGATGACATCAGTGATCAATGTTGCTGTGGTGGATTTATTGGGGAAAGCTATTCTCTTGGCCGGCTGCCATCCACCTCGCCTGGCTTCTACACTCTTCTGTTAGTTTCCACAGTTGGGCTTTACCTCCAGTGCAACCCAGGTCCTTATGGCCGCACGCTGTGGATGGTCCTATCCTTTCGAAGCTACCACACTTTCACCCTGCCTGTTGTTATTGGAAAAGGAGAACATGAGTCTTCCGACCCCCACTCAGCTTCAGAAGTCATTCCTCTGAAATCGGGACCCATTTGCCGGTCTAAGGCGTGTCTAGGCTGTGACAGTTCCAGCTCCAGGAAAAGCCTGAACTGGCTAGTAGAAGACCTGAGAATCAGAGGAGGCCCAGAGTGTGTTCACTCTAGAGAATCATTAACACGCTTAAGACATGTGTCTTGGTTTGATTCCAAGCACCAAATAAACCAGGCATGGTGGTGTACAGTCTAATCACGCCACCCAAGAGGCAACACAGTTGCAATATAATATAATGTTTTATATTATCTTTACAGTAGACCTAAAATTATCAAAATAGAATGTCAAGAAAGAGCAATTATAAAGGGGAAAATAATTCCAAAGTGTGAGAAGAGCATAAGAATTGAAATGGGGTTGGCCGGGCATTGGTGGCGCATGCCTTTAATGCCAGCACTCAGGAGGCAGAGGCAGGCAGATCTCTGTGAGTTCGAGGCCAGCCTGGTCTCCAGAGCGAGTGCCAGGATAGGCTCCAAAGCTACACAGAGAAACACTGTCTCGAAAAACAAAAAACAAAACAAAACAACAACAACAACAAAAAGAGTACCAATGGAGGGTGAGCTAATACAGCCCTGCACATGGCACAGATAATGGGAAGCAGAACTGACTGGCATCTTTGGAAAAATAATCCGGCAACCTCTCAGCAGTCACCTGCTTATGACCCAGGCATCCTACCCCTAGGTGTTTACCAAGACACTTCAGGGAATGTGCCTACAAAACTGTGGAAACACAGCCTTGGAAGAGCTCTATAGCATGAGAAAGACACTTGAGCACTGTCCTGAGTTCCTCCTGAGTGGGAGCCATGTCTTCAGTCATTCCTATGGGCCTCTTCTACAGGGCAGGCACCTCAGCACAGGCCATTCACCAGAAAGCCCAAAGAACTCGAGGAGTCCAAGGTCGGGGCTTTCAGCCTTCCTACCTGGCTGTCCCTGCCTTCCAGAGGGGGCTGGAAGCCAAACTCTGGAACCCGGAGACCTTGAAGCTTCTATGTGTTGGAGGTGTGGCTTGCACAGGAGTGTGCAAGCCCCTCCAGACCTCTCCCAGTCCTTGTAGTGATCAGCTCTTTTCCTGGATATCCATCCACACCCATGTTTGTTTGTTTGTTGATTGGAGTCAGGGTCTTGCTATATAGCTCAGGTTAGCCTTGAGCTCATCACCTTACTGCCAAGTACTGGGATGTTGGTTTCAGCCAGGTCTCTTATACAAATGCGAAGGTATAAGCAGACAACTTCCCCCCAAGTTCTGTAAGTTGTCCTAGCAAATTAGCCAATGGAACAGGACAGAGGATAGATGACTTGTAGCTGGTCAGTCAGAGCTCAGATAGAACTGACAGCCTAGAACTTCCAGTTAGCATCTAAAGTAGGGCAGTCTCGAGGGACTGACCCCTCAAGCTGCAACCTCTGACACTGTATCCTGGTAGATAATATTTACTTCCTGTTGCTGTGTTAAAAACAGAAGGCAACTTGGAGGAGGAAAGAGTTCATTTCAGCTTATAGTTTACAGCCCATTAGGGAAGGAAGTCAAGGCAGGAACTTCAGGCAGGAACCCGGGGGCAAGAACTGATGCAGAGGCCATGGAAGAAAGCTGCCCACTGGCCAGTTCCTCCTGTCTTGCTCAGTTTGCTTTCTTTTACCTTCCAGGATCCCTGACTGGGGAAGGCACTGCCCACAGTGGGCGCTCCCACATCAATCATCTATCAAGAAAATGCCCCCAGAAAATTGTTTAAAGGCCCAAGTAATTTAAAGTAATTTAAAGGCCCAAGTAATTGAAGTTCCCATTTCTCAGATGACTCTGGCTTGGGTCAAGTTGACAGAAATCTAACCAGGACACTGTGTCAAGTGAGGTCAGTTGGAGGATCCCCGAAGCTGCTCAGAAGAGAACTGCCCAGCTGACAAAGAAGTTGACACAGAACTGCCCAATTGTCACAGTTGTGGCAGCCGACAGGATAGAGAGCAGCAGTGTGTTTTTAGCCCAGATATCCCCGGACAGGAGAGAGGGTGCCGCTGGCGTGCTGTGCCATGGAGACTATTCTACAGCACGGCAGGACTGACGTTGGCATGTGTGCTCACACAAGAGGCTGTATTTTCTGGAAAAGTGCCCCTCTGGCCCACCCAGCAGAGCCCAAGTTTCAGGCGAGGGAAAGCAAGAGTCTGTAAAATGGTTATAATCTAGAGAAGCTGCATGAGGCGTTCCTGCCTCCAGCCTTGACCCTTGACCCTCGGGCTCCTATATGGGTGTTTCTAGCCCCTCTTCAAATCTCTAGCAGTGTGAGACCAGAGGGTTCCATGGGTCTCATTGCCACATACATTTCCCATCATAAATTCCTTGGTTGGAGACGATGTGTGGGTTACCATGACAACATATAGGGGCATCTGAAAATCTTCAGATGGCGATGCTGGCAGGAGCTGTGAAGTAGGCAGAGTGAGGAGGCCAGCTGCCTTCATGAGGGAACGATACAACTGCAATCAGCCTGTCCCTGCGTGACTGGCTAGCCTCTCCCCTTGTAGAAGGTGCAGCACCAGGGCTCAGTGCTGACCCCTGCTCACCTGTAGCAACCTGAGAATTTAACAGTGATACCCCTGTAAGCTTTAGGGAAAGGGTCATGCCTGGAAGGCTGGGGTGATGGAGAACAGTCACAGAACAAAACTGATCTCATGAGCCCGACTACCGACTTCAGAGACCTTTCCTGCAGTGGGTGCCCCCACGGAAACTGACAGCACCCAGGTATTTCCGTAGGACGTCTCCATTTACTTGCTGTTCCCCCCACCTGGGGACTTGCTGTCAGCGGCCATCTAGCCTCAGAGTTCCTGACCATCATGGCAATCTGCCCACTACAATAGAGCCCTCTGGTCTCTAAAGCAAACTATCACATTGTGCTAGATTCATCAGAACAGCTCCCAGGGAGTCCTTCCCTGTGGGCATGCAGCTCCATCCAGTGACTGTCTGTTGCGGAAACAGTTGGGCTTCCTCCTCTGCTGAGCGGGAACTCCTCAAGAAGCCAGTGAGTTGAGGAAGAGGCAGTATTGTCAGGGCCTGCACCACTGCCCCAGATTTACTAGTGCCTTTTAGACCCACTTGTGTCTATTCTCCCAGGTACAGTTGCCTTTCCTAATGCCATGAACACCGCCCATCCCACTTTGTGGTTCAGAGCACCAGATAGACTCTTGGTGCATGCTGAGCAGTCCTACCGTGCTGGTACTTGCAACTCCAAGAACTCTTGGCTCTTATGTGGTCAGGGCTCAGATTTCCCCACCAGTTTAGCCTTTCCAAAGCTCATCTTTCTTTATCACATGACTTTCCCTTTCCCCCAATAAATTCCCCTATCATCCCCTTGAATGCTGATCCATTTGTAAAAATTCTGTGTTTTTATTTAAAATCCTCATGGGTATAGTGGCACCAGTCTATAATCTTGGTAACACTGGAGGCTGAGGCAGGATGACCTCAGATGCTTGCCTGAGCCCAAGCATCTGAGGTCATCATAAGCAATATAACCAGATTTTTCTCTTAAAAATTTTAAATTCATTAGTCAATTATCGCTACAGGGTCTACCATATATTCCTGGTTGACCTAGAGCTTACCATGTAGACCAGGTTGGCCTTAACTCACCAAGATCTGAGTACGCTGGAATTAAATGCGTGTGCCGCCACATTTGTTTTTTGTTTGTTTGTTTGTTTTTTGTTTTTTTCTATATATAACCTTGGCTGTCCTGGAGCTTGCTTTGTATACCAGGCTGACCTCAAACTCACAGAGATCCGCCTGCCTCTGCCTCCTGAGTGCTTCAATTAAAAGCATGTGCCACCACTGCCTGGCTATCTAGCCTGTTTTATTTATGCATTTTCTTTTCTTTTTTTTTTTTTTTTTTTTTTTTTTTTTTTTTTTTTTTTTTTGTTATCCGAGGCAGGGTTTCTCTGTGTAGCTTTGGAGCCTATATGCATTTTCATTTTTAATTTATTCTTACAGCCCTGTGTTTCCTCTCCTTGGGCGGTTATTAAGATCTCTCCGACTTTGTCTTTTGGCAGTCTGACACAGTGGAATAGGGTGTGGCTTCCATTGTATTTATTCTACTTAAGAGGTCACATAGAACTTTGTATCTTTCTGTGGCTTTGTTCTTTCCTCGATTTAAAAGTTCTCTCCCTCTCTCTTTTTGTGAGTGTGTGTGTGTGTGTGTGTGTGTAAGTGTGTGTGTGAGTGTGTGAGTGTGTGTGTGTAAGTGTGTGTGTGACTGAGTGTGTGTGTGTGTGTGTGAGTGAGTGTGTGTGTGTGAGTGTGTGTGTGTAAGTGTGTGTGTGGGTGTGGGTGGGGG